AGGCAGCCACGACCTAGGGTGGGGTGGGGGTGGGTCATTCGAGCATGTACGGCCAGCAATGGGGGAGGATAGAGGGATTGTTGACCAAGGGGGGGTGGGAAGGATTTTCAGGGCAAGGAGGTGGGGGGACAGAGGGTTCAGGAAAATTTAATGGGAGGTCAGGAGGGGGCCTTGGCGGAGAGGAGAGAGATTCCAGGGGAACAGTGAAAGCAGAGGATTCAGGGAGTTCAGAAGTTTCCTTGGAAAGGCTAGGAGCAGGTTTTTGGCCCTAGCCCGCCTTAGCAAGCAAAATCTGGGAGGGAGAGCAGGTAGTACAGGGGCGGGGACAAGAGCACAGATACTAAAAAGCCTGAACATATGGGATTTCCTTCCATTTGCCCTTACTCTGACAAAAACTGGTAAGATCGGTCAAGACACTGAAATCGAAAGTGCCCTCAGGCAGCCAGATTGATCCATTGTTTAGTAAATATTTGGGCCAAGCCATGGTCTACAGGAAGACCAGGCAGCATTTGGATTATAGAGGACACACTCTAAAGGTGTTTTTGGATCAAGTTTGGAGGTAGCAGACCCTATCACAGATTAGACCTCGGGTAGAGAGAATGAGCTGAGAGGTGTCCCCCTTGGGTATAATCTCTCCAAGGATAGGAGGGTGAAGCAAAGTGACATTCAGGCAGTCCTGAGACGAGACGATCCTTAGGGTTCTCCTCGAGCACCCAGAATAGAGAAGGATGAAGGTAAGTGTTGTCCAGGCAGCCCTGAGACAAGACGATCCTTAGGGTACCCCTGGGGTATCAGAATGGAGGAGGAGGGTTCCTGGCACAGCTGCGACTACAGACAGGAAAACTCCAGAGGTCCTTCAAACGGGATTGAGGCCACTTAGATTCCCAGGGTGACTGTGTGAGAGTTGGATGGAGGGGATCTAACCAAGAAGCATCCAGCCCCTCCCGGGTTGCGGCACCAGATGTTAGGTTTGATTTGGGAGTGGTGGCGAAGTCAGAGGTGGCAAAGGCGAAAATACCAGTCAGGCCATGGGGTTTAATAAAATCAGAATAATTTATTCTGCACTCTCAGGTGAGGTCCCTCGGCCTCAGCCTGGTCAGAGGCCGAGGGAGTCACACCCAGGGTGGTTGCTGCTCGTTCTTAAAGGGCTGTTGTCCAACAGGTGGTCACCACGGGTCCTTGTCTGGCCAATAAAGTTCACTGTATCTGTTCAACTTTGGCGGGCACGCCAAATGCTGAAGGGCGAGAAAGTCCATTGGTGATGGCAGGCCAGATGCGGAAAACAGGAAAGTTCTGTCAGAGGGAATGTTCCCGCCATGTTTCTTTTTCCTTCCCCCAAACATTACAGGTCTCTGACTCCCCCTGATGCTCCACCACTGCTAGGACATAGCCTTTGCCAATAGCAGTGAAATGTATTATGATTTAAAAAAAAAAAATCTTATCCCTAACCTCTAGCCCTAGACCACACTCAGCTCCTCATTAATCTCTAAACTCAGTGTCCCCAATTCATTTGATCAGCATTAGGACCCAGGACAGCCCCCAATATCTAGCAGAAAAGGCCTCCTAGGTTGATTAGTCAAATGACTGGGTGACTGTCCCCCAGGTTTCTGCAAGCTCCCAAGGGACAAGAGGACTTCTCTTTATCCAGATTGCAGAACCCAGGGAAAAAACAGGTAGGTTCCTTCCTTCTCCTGCTGAGCCTATTGGCAAAAACAAAACCACAGCTCCAGCTCCTCAAGGAGATCCTAACCTCCCTCTGCCTCTAGACCAAAATAAGTGCCCCAAATCTGCAGAGAATAATCTTTTTCCCTGAAGCTTGAGTCTTCCAGGACCTGGGAGAAGATATAGGAATAGGTATGTTTCAAGGACCTCCCCAGAGCTCTGAGTCTCCAAACTCACCCGAGATCAAGAGGGGATAGAAACAGCTTTATAGACTCAGGTTAGTACCGGAATGTGCTTCAGTCCTCGGCGTCAGCGTCTGTTTGCCAGAACTGTGTGTCTTGTCATCAGATCTGGATGTGCAGCCTCTCCCAAAACAGCTCTACAAAGGAGAACTTGGAAGACACGGGCTGGAATGAAAGTAAGCCCCAAAACCATCCAACGTGGCTGGGCTAAGACGATCTTGAATCCTCTCTTGGAGGGACGTCAGGGTGGAGAGTACCATCTGCTAAGGTTGGTATTTGTCTACGGGAAATTCTACTGAGTTTCACCAGAGCTGATTCAGAATGCTGTGATTGCCCATTCTCCTCTCCTTCTTCCCCAAAACTCACATCTACACCAGCCCCTACTGTGTCAGTCTTTAAGCAATTCCTGATCCCAGAGCTTTCCAGGATCCTGAGCAATTTCTTCCAACTCCCCATTCATCGTGTGCTCATAATCTAACCTGATAGAAGTTGGTGTGTATGGATCAAACACCTACCCTGTTTCCAGAAGTATGCTAAGTGCATTGATACACATTGTCTTTCAAGTCTTCCAGAAACAGGCTCAGAAAGCTTCCTGACTTTTTCCAATGTGCGTCTTGTCTAGTAAATGTTTACTGAAGAGATTAATTGCCACTTCCAGGCCATTGTTCTTCTCCATCTCCTCACCCAGCCCCACCTTCCTCATTCTTCAAGACCCCAGCCTGCTGCCTCCTCCTCCTGAAGCCTTCCCAGATCACTCCACCCTTCAGTCCATGAGCTGCTGATGCAGGATGGGCACCACCCAACTCTCTTGTTTCCTGGGAGCAAGTTTGCTTCTCAACAGAATTTTTAGATCTTAAAAAGCTATTTGCATGACTACTCTTAGGTCATCAGAAAAGTCATAATGCATTTTTCTATGCAAATATGTGTCATGACTTTTGTGACTACCCAATATTTGGAGCAGTAATTGCTTAAATACTTTGAACAAATGTAATTATTTAAATACTTTTGGACAATGGTAATTATTCAAATAACAGTAGTTAAATACTTGCTGTTTGCTTGATGGGAAACTTTGAAAAGCCTCTGCATTCAGAAGTTGTAATGTGATACGGAAGCAAAACAATCCAGTGGAGGGAGAGAAAGACTTAGAAACATGGGCAAAGCCCTGTTAATGTTTCGAAATACACACATGTGTAAAATCAACTGCCATGCTACAACAGCACACAAAACAAACATTCAGCTGGGTTAGGGAAGTCTTACAAGAAGGGCTGAGGGATAGTTGTACAGGATTTACAGAGGAAACCCAGAGATACCTCGTAATGGAGAACCTCAGAGTCCAGCTGTAAAGCTATTGGCCAAGGTCACCTCAATGGAGAATTTTTTAATGTGTTTTTTTTTTCATCATTTATTTCATTTTATTTATTATTTTTATTATTATTTTTATTCACCAGAGATACAGAGAGAGGGAAAGTGAGAAAGCAAGCCACCAGTTCTGGGATTCAAATCGGGGTCGGCCCTGTGGGAGTCCTGCCCCTCAACCACCACACTATCTGCTGGCACCAAAAATCATTAATAGGTGTGCCTCCAAAGGAATCAAACGGCCATCTGGGAGTTGGGACATGAGTAGTAGAGTATTAGGAGACAGCACAGTCCTGGACCATGGAAAGATAGTGGGAAAAGAGGATAGGGAAGGACAAGAAATCTCATTCGTTAAAGGACAGGATCCACGAACTTGGTTGAAAAACAATGCTGAGTTTATGTTCGTGTGTGTCCACAGGACTGGACTATCATCCTATCAGAGAAAAATAAAAACAATAATATTCATTGTAGATCAGAGACTTATGGACATTTGGGTTTGGAGAGAACTAAATCCCTAACCAGTTAGAAAAGAAAACATAAATGACACATGGAATACCTGGGTAAGAAAGTGAGCAGAGAGCAGGAGACTGACTTTGCTAGGTTCAACTTCAGGGATGAACCATGTGACAGGATCCTGCCATGCCAAATACCCAGACTCTGTAAGCTGTGTATTCTGGCATTTATAATAAATCAAAGAGCACAGACCATTCTAGCAAATGCTAGTCGCATCATCACAATCCCAGCTCTGGGAGGAAGGAGAGGCAACTAGGGCAGAAGGGAGGTCGTAGAAGGTCAGGAGCTGACTTGTTCTTCGAAGGTCACAGTCTTCAGTTTGGGGTTGTATAGCTACTATGATCTGAATGTGTAGCTCAAAAATTCATGTGGTGAAATTTGGTTGTGATGGGATTATGAAAGTGAAAACTTAATGCCACTATGAAATGAAGAGATGGTGTCTTTTAGAGATGATTAGGATTAAGGTCATCAAGGTGGGATCCCTGAGACTGAATCCTGATGGGTTTATAAGGTGAGGGAGTTAAGACCAGCGATGACATAGTGGTTATGGTGCTGGACTCCCACATGGCCGACCGTAGTTTGAATCCTGGACCCAATGACTTCAAGATCACATTGAGCATGTGTGTGTGTATGCCCAAGACCCCAGGAGGAAAATGGAGGCAAAAGGATTGCAGCATGGCCATCCCTTCCTGGGGGGTAGCTCCTCGCTTTCTCTCTCACTGTCTCTGTCTCGCTCTCTCTTCAGTGAACACACACATCCTAAGAAAAAAAAAAAAAAGAAGGAGTGAGACAGACACAGGGACACAGACATTTGCTCTATGCTCACTCTGTCTCACCTTGTGGTGCTTGCTATGGTGTTTTTTCACCAGCGAGAACACTCTCACCAAATGTGCCCTCTCAACCCTCAACCTCCAGAGCCATGAGGTAAATAAGCCTCTATTCTTAGAACTTAGCCAGATTGAGATATTCCATTATTAACCAACAAAGAACACACTAAAATAGTACCCTGGAGAGTATGTGAAGACTCTCCAAACGGTTCATAGGTAAAACAATGAACATGGATATATTCTAAATGTGTATGAATTTTGAAAATGTTAAGGTAAATGACAGATTATATATTATATCAATCCACTTCTAGAAAATGTCCAGAACAGGCAAATTCATAGAGACAGAGAATAAATGAATGGTTGCCAGAGGCTGGGGGTAGGGGTGAATGGGGAATGACTCCTAAGGCCATGTTATCTACCTGTAATTGGTATGGAGCTTTCTTTTTTGGGTGATGAAAGTGTTCTTAATAAAATAGAGATGGTTGCACAATATTGTGAATGTACTAGCAACCACTAGATTGTACCATTTTAAATGGTGAGTTTTATGGAACATACATTATTTTTAAAAAAAACGACAGAATAATGGGACCAGCAGTTGGCATAATAGCTATGTTGCTGGACTCCTGTGTAGCTGACCGTGGTTCGAATCCCGGATTGTGTGGTTTAAACTCACGTCGGCACATGTGTATGTGTGCCTAAGATCCTGAGAGGAGAATGGACTCAAATCGCAGTCAACTACATGGGAGTCCAGTGCCATAGCCATTATGCCAACTGCTGGTCCCAGGCAAAACAATTTCAAGAGAACCGATTTCCAGAACCTTGTGTCCATATCTACTCTTTCCTAAAACCAGTGTCCTTGATAACACATCTGTGATGGAATTAGTGTACTTCTTACTCATCTCCCCCTTTACATTGCCCTTCTCCCACTTTTTAAAAGAAATGCATGTGTCTAACCCATCTTGAATACTACTAAAAGGAATTTCACCAGCATACAAAAACTTCCAGGATACCACGCAATGATATAATTTGATAAATAGATATTGAAAAAGTAAATGACTTTACTGTCTATAAATCTTTTTGAGTCATATGGAAATCTTTCAACAAAATAGAGAGAGGCTATTTCCAAATTAATAGATAATAGAATATTAAAAATCACATGGTGATTCTTAGTATAAGCAAGAAGGAGTTTAATAAATTGAATGATATTACCATAACAAGACTCCTTATGTCCCTGGCTATTCATTTATGTTAGCAAGATTTCTCAGAACTTACTATTTCATGCAAAAACATTTGCCAAGGGTCAGTGCTGTGAATGGCCAAGGTACTTAAATAGATCCTTGTGAGACTGACAGAGAACTTTTAAGTTGCCCCTTATCATCAGGAATAGAATACATTTTTTATATTTTATTTTATTATAAGATTTATGCTTTAACCAGAAAGATACAGAAAGAGAAAGAGAGGGAAAAAACCCTATGGGGGGATGACCATGCTGCCATCTTTTCTTGTCCACTCTACCCTCAGGATTTGGACCTTGCACACACATGTGTCCAGTGTGATTTTCAAGCTGGTGGGCCCAGGACTTGAACCACACAGTTCATCATGTGGGATGGAGTCCCCTTAACCACAATAGCACCTGCTGGCCCCATTGAGTGCCCTTTTCTCTAGACAAATTCGCTTGGATTCTTTCTGTGTTCTCTGGGGCACATTGACACAAAGATCCCTATTCAAACAGAAAGATCACGGTCAGACTGCTAGCACCAAGTGTTACCTCAGAGACCTTCCATACCAAACCTTGAGCAAGCAGATGAGAATCAGAGGCCCGGAGAGGGGAGAACTGCCCAAGGCAACAGCCTGGTAGGTGATAGAGCTGGAACTGGAAAACACGCCCAGTGTTTTCTGCCATACCCTGTACCTGTCACTACAGGTGAGAATAAAAGTGAGACTGCGCATCCGTGTTCTGCACGGTGACACACTTCCTTCCTGTCCTCAGCACAAACTTGTTTGACATGGGTAAAGAGGTTGGTGAGGTTTCCCTAGGACTGGTATTTCAGGATGTAGCCCAGACTCTCAAAGAAAAAGGATTGAGGGACAGAGAGAGGAGGAAGTATGAGGAAGAAGAAAAGGACTCAGCATTTCTGGTTTTCCTGTGAATTAATACCTTGGAAGACAACCAAACAAGCACTAAAATACCATTTTCCAAGCTGGTGGTCTCACAGGTAATATTAAATCAATAAATTTGCAAAGGACAATAAGGTTATGATAGAGAGGAGGAGATGACCTGAAGGATGTCCAAATATGAAAGTACTTGAAAAAGTCTGAAGAAAAATGGAATTAAAATATGAGTTTAGGTACCAACAGATGGCATACTGGTTATGTCCCTGGACTCCCACATAGTCAACTACGTTTTGAGTCTTGGACCAGGTGGCTTAAAACTCATGCTGGGTGCGTGTGTTTACATGCCCAAGATCCTGAGAGAAGAATGGAGGAGAGGGGATTGTGGCATGGCCATCCCTGCTGGGGGGTGATTTCTCACTTTCTGTGTCTCTTTCTCTTTCTCTTTCTGGTGAGCAGACATGCCCTATAGCAAAACTTTCTCTCAAAAAACAATGTGTTTATTATGGTGCAAGAGGAAATTTTAAATCCTGCATAGTTTTATCATAATACACATTTTCTATCAGCTTTTTGTAGACCCCCTCATGCAAGACAGAATGAACATGGATATATTCTAAATTTGGATGAATTTTGAAAATGTTAAGGTAAATGACAGATTATATATTATATCAATCCACTTCTAGAAAATGTCTAGAACAGGCAAATCCATAGAGACAGAGAATAAATGAATGGTGGCCAGAGGCTGGGGGTAGGGGTGAATGGGGAATGACTCCTAAGGCCATGCTATCTACCTGTAATTTGTATGGAGATTTTTTTGGGGGGTGATGAAAGTGTTCTTAATAAAATAGTAGAGATGGTTGCACAATGTTGTAAATGTACTAGCAACCACTAGATTGTACAATTTTAAATGGTGAGTTTTATGGAACATACATTATATTTTTTTTTAAATGCAGAATGATGGAACCAGCAGTTGGCACAATGGCTATGTCGCTGGACTCCCGTGTAGTCAACCGCAGTTCGAGTCCCAGATTGTGTGGCTTAAACTCACGTCAGGCACGTGTGCATGCGTGCCCAAGATCCCAAGAGGAGAATGGACTCAAACCACAGTCGACTATGTGGGAGTCCAGTGACATAGCCATTACGCCAACTGCTGGTCTCAGGCAAAACAATTTTAAGAGAAACAATTTCCAGAACATTGTGTCCATATCTACTCTTTCCTAAAACCAGTGTCCTTGATAACACATCTGCAATGGAAATAGTGTACAATTTTAAATGGTGGCCATCCCCCCGGGGAATGATTTCTTGCTTTTTGTCTGTCTCTCCCTCTTTCTGGTGAGCGCAAGTGCCCTATAGCAAAATCCTCTCAAAAAAATAAATAAATAAAAGCAGAATTAAATGTGTTAAACAGTTATAGAAATATAGATAGGAGAACAAGATATCAGGGAAGAAGCTTCATGTTTATTTACTGCCTACTGTGTCTCAGACATTCAGCTACTTTACATTCATTTTTTTCTCTTTACTTTAGGCCACACAACAACCCTGAGAAGTAGGCCTATTTTCTCCATTTCACAGATGAAGAAACTAAGGCTTGTAGGTATTACTTATCCAAGGATACACAACTAGTTAGTGCCACAGTCACAATTGAGACTCAGTTCTAGGGTCAGCAGGTGGCGTGGTGGTGAAGGTACTAGATTCCCACATGACTGACAGTGGTTCAAGTCCCAGACCTTGTGGCTTGACAATACTCAAATAACACTGTTTGAGTGATTATCAATTGTCACCTCTACAGATGACACCTGGAGAACTAGCCCTTGCTAGTGGCAACCACACCTCAGTTACCAAATTCATCTTGTTGGGATTCTCCAATTATCCAGACCTCCAAGAGCTTCTCTTTGGAGCCTTCCTGCTCATCTACACCATGACACTGGTGGGCAACCTGGGAATGATGGCGCTGATCTGCACAGACTCCCGCCTCCATAGCCCCATGTACTTCTTCCTTAGCATCCTCTCTTTTCTTGATATTTGCTACTCTTCTGTGGTCACACCCAAGCTCTTGGTCAACTTTCTGACCTCTGACAAGTCCATCTCTTTCAAGGGCTGTGTAGTCCAGCTGACCTTCTTTGTGGTGCATGTGACAGCTGAGAGCTTCCTACTGGCCTCCATGGCCTACGACCGCTTCATGGCCATCTGCCGACCCCTCCATTATGGTTCTATCATGACCAAGGGGACCTGTCTCCAGCTGGTGATTGTATCCTATGCATTTGGTGGAGCCAACTCTGCTATCCAGACTGGGAATGTCTTTGCTCTGCCTTTCTGTGGACCTAACCAGGTAACGCACTACTTCTGTGACATCCCACCCCTTCTCCGCCTGGCTTGTGCCAACACAGCCACAGCAGGAGTGGTCCTCTACATCTTCTCTGCTCTGGTTACCCTTCTGCCTGCTGCAGTCATCCTCACCTCCTACAGCTTGGTTTTGGTGGCCATTGGGAGGATGCGCTCGGCAGCTGGACGGGAGAAGGCTCTTTCCACGTGTGCCTCCCACTTCTTGGCCATTGCCATTTTCTACGGCACCGTGGTTTTCACCTATGTCCAGCCCCATGGATCCTCTAATGATACCAATGGCCAAATAGTGTCAATCTTCTACACCATCATAATTCCCATGCTCAACCCTTTCATCTATAGCCTCCGCAACAAGGAGGTAAAAGATGCTCTGCACAGGAAACTCCAGGTCAACATCTTTCCCTGCTGAGTTCTGCAAGGTTGTTTGTTGGGATGAAGAAGGCATAGCACCTTCTAAGCCACATTATAAATTGACCTGCCATGAGCAGTGCTGGTTTTGAAGGAGATAGAAGTAAGGGAGAAACAGCAAACACACTACATATAGATTGTCACAGTTTATAAAACATCTTCTTATCCATTACCGTATTGAATCCTTGGCCCCATACTGTAAGACAACCATTGTCACAACAATCGCATTTTACAAATATAAGAAACACAACTCAGAAAAAGTAAGTTAGTTACCTAAGTTATATCATTAGTGAGAAAATGAGTATTGGATATCAGGCCTTCCATACTGAGACCAGGGATATTTCAGCTAAACCGCAGCCACAGTTAAGTTTTTATTGGCAGTTTATCCTAACTTCCAAGAAACGTCAGACAAGGAGCAGAGAGTCATTTCTGTTTTGCCACTGGGTTAGTGGAATGGCTCAGTTCTTTCTTCCTGTTCCCAAAAGAAAGATAACCAGGACAGAGATGTCCCTATGTTTTATTGCAACTACATTTCACTAAGCTGTCCCCTTAAAACCTTGGGATCAAGACAAACCTTTCTGGGACCAGCATTTAGCATAATGTTGCTGGACTCCCATGTAATCAACTGTGCTTCGAGTCCCAGACCCAGTGGCTTAAATTCACACCAGGCGCATGTGCATGTGTGCCCAAGGTCCCGAGAGGAGAATGGAGAAGGGATTACAGCATGGCTAGCCCCCCTGGGTGGTGATTTCTCCCTTTCTATCTCTCTGTCTTTCTAGCGAGCACACACACCCTATAGCAAAAACCTCTCCCCCCCCCAAAAAAAAGAAAAACCTTTCCTTGTATGTATGTATCCTAGCCAGATATATGTGTAAGCCTCACAATTCACAACGGGGTATGTGGTGTGTTGTGTGTGTGTGTGTGTGTGTGTGTGTGTGTGTGTGGCGTTTGGGCAGTCATAGCCTTATAAAAGATACTGCACTTTGAGAGTCCAGTTCAAAAATTTTTTTACCTGACGTGAGTACTTTTAAATATACATGGTATGGTAGGGACATGTGTTTTAGAGACCCCCATAAATGCAGAAGGTGAACTTAAAGACTTAATTCAGGGTTGAACACTAGATTGGAAAGTCTGATGTTACACAAGTGCAAAGCTCTAACTTGAACTTCAGCCTGAGATTATGAGATGATTTTAAGGTTTTTTTCAGCTCTACCTTAAGAAAATTATTCTAAAAACAGAAAAGTGTTACTATACATACAGGCATATCACAGTACCATGTCTGGGGAAAAAAAGAAAAAGAAAAGTGGAAACAACTTACCTGTTGGAAAGGGGCAAAGGACTAAAAGGTCACCCCCTACATGGATTATCACGCAAACATTAAATTTATGCTTATGAAGACTATGTAATAGCAAAAATAAAATAAGAAAATAAAACTATGTCATAGCATGGAAAGCAGTAGGCCAGGACATCTAGAGTAAAATCAACCAAGAAACAAAATGAGTAGCAGAAAAATATAAAAATTAAATGACAGGGGAACCACCAGTTAGCGTAATGGCTATGTCGCTGGACTCCCATGTAGTCAACCGCGGTTCGCGTCCCGGATCTGGTGGCTTAAAGCTCACGCCGGGGGCATGTGCGTGTGTGCCCAAGATCCCCAGAGGAAAATGGAGGAGAAGGGATTGCGGCGTGACCATCCTCCCTGGGGGGTGATTTCTCGCTTTCTGTCTCTTTGTCTCTCTCTGTCTGGCGAGTGCACACGCCCTATAGCAAAAATATCTCTCCCCCCCCAAAAAAAATTAAATGACAGTTGAATTAGATTGGTAGCATAACGGAAAAAGTATTTTGCTATTTTTCTCCAAAATTTTACAAAACTTTTTTAATGTGCATGCTTAATTTTGATACTTTTTGAAAATAAACAAATCCTTTCCAGGAAGCTGACAGTGAAAATGTCTCAATTCTGTCTTCTTTCATTCAACAAATATTTACTAAATTCCTCCTATGCTCCACATTTCTTTAACTTATAAACTAAATTTTTAGTATGTGCCTGTACATTGGGTGAGGACAAAAACATTATGGTAGGGACCAGCAGATGGTGTAATGGTTACATTGCTGGATTCCCAGGTAGTCAACCTCAGTTTGAGTCCTGAACCCAGAGGCTTAAAACACACCATCCGCATGTGTGTGCATGCCCAAAATCTGGAGAGGAGAATGGAGGAGAAGGGATTGCAGCGTGACCATCTCCCAGGTGGGGGGATTTCTCACTTTCTGTCTCAATCTCTCTCTGTCTCTCCAACGAGTGCAAGCACCCTATAGCAAAAGTCTCTCTTTAAAAAAAAGAAAACTTTGGGGCCAGTAGGTTGTGTGGTGGTTAAGGGTACTAGACTCCCACATGGCCAACCGTAGTTTGAGTCCCAGACCTGTCAGCTTGCTTTCTTTCACACTTTCTCTGTCTTGCTCTGTCCCTGTCTGGTCAAATTTAAATAAACAAGGAAATAAAGGTAAAAATAAAATAGTTTTTAAAAAGAAAAAAAAAAGAAGAAGAAAAAAATTATGGTAAAGAGACTGAGTAAATGTTGACCTAACTCCTTCATCTGGAAAAATATTTATGTGGTGATTAGGTACAATACAATATCATAACCCCTAGCTGGATTAACATGTATTAGGCAGATAGCGTATGCCATAGTAACAAATAAACCCTTAAATGTCAGTAACTTTATACTCAAAGGTTTTCACCTATGTTAAATTTAAGATCATCAGTCACTCTCCAGAGTAGCTCTTATGCTTCCTGGAAATGGAATAACTAGGCCCCTGTTGTTTTCAATACTGCCATCTAACCCTGTACACACACCATGTGGTGAAAATCTTAAATAAGAAGAAGAAAAAAAAGAAAAAGTAAATGTTTTGGAAAATGAAGTGCCTGAAATTTGAACTTTATACTTAGGTATTCTATTTGATGGGGGGCAAGGGAGTGCCTTCAATCTAGAGGACTAAAAATAAACAGTCACAGGCCCAGCAGGCCAGCTGGTGGCATGGTGATTAAGGCAGCTGGTCGGTCAATCAACTGTGAGTGTCCATGTGGTTTAGTCGAAGTGATATTCAGTAGAGAAAAACTTAATTTTAGTGTTCGATAGAAAGATCTGCTAATGATGATTATACAAATAATAGTGTAGGAGATTGTATAACTGTGAAAATGTCTTTTGGACATTCTTGAAAAATGTGTAGGGGGCCAGCAGGTGACATGGAGGTTAAGGCAGGTGCCATATGACACCGAGATCCTGAGGTGGGGCAAATGGTCAGGGTCATGCAGGGTGTTTAAGGACCTGGCCTGAAACTGACTTGTATCACTTTGACCCACGTGTCACTGACCTGACACCATTCCTATGGCCTCAGTGGAATAGCAAAGGAGGCCAGAAAATGCAGGGGGGTTTGTTATTCAGAGAGAGGAAAAATAAATGAAATTTAGTAATAATACAGCTTTGTCACTGGTCAATTGGCTAGCTAGACCATGATACATAAGAGCTACTAAAACATCACTGGAATAGATCAAAACTAAAGTGTTGGTTAATTCCTGCTTCTACGTCATGGAAGTGGGCTGTTTCCTTGAGTAGAAATTTTCAGACTTTCGTTGCCTGGGCTGACCTTTCTGTTGAGTTCTTTGAATCACACTCCCCCATTGCATGGTGTAACCTGAAACCAGTTAGCTGATGGTTGACTGACATTGCAGGTCACAGTTACCTTGGATTATAAAACTAAGTAACGTACAATGTAGGTATTTGCGGTGAGTGATGTTATCTAAGTTTAAACCCGGTAATGTATCGTGCACAGAGAGATACAAACATATACACTCCTGAAGGGGGGGGGGGACACACAAAATAAGAAAGCATTTGGAAAACATCAATGTCAGAAAAAATTACAAAAGTGAAATCTGGATACGATGTGGCTCTACTGTACAATTTTAATTAACAGGCTATAAGTTACTATTCAGCAACTATAACTATTCAGCAACTATATAAATGTCAAACAAATATTTATAATCTTTCCGTTCAGAAAGTGACAAATTATTATCCTGCCCACCTCTCCTGTGTCCCAGTGTCTAGAACAGTGCCTGGCACATGACAGACACAACAAATATCTGTTCGATGATGAATAGAGCCAGCACTGTAGCACAGTGGTTAAGGTGTACGGAGCCAGACTTCACAAAGCTGGCTGTGGTTCAAATTGTGGGCCCAGCAGCTTGAAACACATGCTGGGTGCATGTGGTATAATTGTGTGCCCAAAACTCTGATGGAATTGAGAAATGGAAGAACAAGATCGCAGTATGACCACACCCACTGGAGGGCAATTTCTCTCTTTCCCACTCTCTCTCTCTCTCTCTCTCTCGAGCACACACATCTTCTGGCAATTAAAACACACACACACACAGGCCAGTGGGTAGTATGGAGGTTAAGGTGCTGGATCACACATGGCTGACAACATAATTCAAGTCCCAGACCTGGAGGCTTGAAAATCGTGCCATGTCTGTGTACGTGTGTGCTCAAAATGCCAAAAGGAGATTGGGGAACAAGAGACTGCAGCATAGCCATTCCTCCCGGAGGACAATTTCTCACTGTCCCTGTCTCTGTCTCTCTCTCTGTCTCTGGCAAGTCCACTTACCCTTTAGCAAAAGACCAAAGCACACACAAAGACAAACTTATATACATATACACTGCCATCCAGCAGCTCTATTAGTAGACATTTCATCTATAATCTAGTAGATATATAATTGTGCATGCTTGCATTATGAAATGTGTATCAGAAATGTAGACGCAGCACAAATGTCCATCAACAATAGAAATGGATGGATAAAAGAGGTACATCGAAACAATGTAAATTGAACAATAAAGGAGCTGCATGAGAGCTGCTGCATAAAACTGAGTGAAATGGGACCAGTTGTTAGCATAATGGCTATGTCGCTGGACTCCCACGTAGTCAACCACGGTTCGAGTCCCAGACCCAATGGCT